GGCCGGGACGCCCGAGCGCTCCATCCTGAGCACGGTGCACGTGCTGGGCGCCTACGCCAGCATCGGCTCCCTGGCGGGCGCCTTCAGGGAGACGGGAGCCCTGGACCTGCTGATGAGGATGCTGTGCCACAAGGAGAAGCAGATCCGCCGCAGTGCCGGCGAGATGCTGCGCGCTCTGGGTGCCCACGATGCAGGTGGGGGCTGCTCCTGCTCGGTGCCGCTGAGGAGGTGTTGCTGGGCAGCTGAGGGGTGCCAGCCTTTGGGAGGGGTGAGACGCCTGGGAAGCAGCACGTCTCGGGGCTTCTTGGCAAAAGGGGAGGAATCAGTCTGCATCTTCCAGGCTTCCTTGGTTGTAGTTGTCTGGACTGCTCTTGGATCTAGAAACTCTCCCCTGCCGGGTTTCTGAGCTGGGACGCTGATTAACTGTTAGGAGGACTTAGGCCAAGGAGATTGGCAGAGTGTGGGGTGACTGCTCTAAGCTGTCAGTTGGAAAGTCTCTGGCCTATTCTTGGCAGGGAGCCTTTTCTCAAGCCCTGGATAGAGGCTAGTCCTCATTTAAGAGGTGCTGCCATGGCTTGGAAGCACCTGATGAGGTTTGGGTGCACCTGCTCATTTAAGAGGTGCTGCCATGGCTTGGAAGCACCTGATGAGGTTTGGGTGCACCTGGAAGGTTGCTGCTTGTGTATCCCACAGGAGATCCGGCTTTCCCTGTCCTAGTGCCTGAGTTCATGCAGCTCTGAAGTGGGGCAGAGGAGGGTCTGATTCAGGTTAAAACTTGACTTCTTTTCTTCCCTGGGACCCTGCTCTGGAATCAGTTTGGGGTTGCTGCTTTGTGAGAATCTTGCAGTGTTAGGGGTAGAAAAAGTACACCATGGAGCAAAATGTTGCCACTCCAGAGGGACAGAACATGGATCAGTTGACATGCAGCAGCAAAGCTGTTCCTCTCCTGCAGCTCCATCTCTCACAGGGAGGGTGGGGTGAGGGTTGTCTTTGTGGGGCCTGAAGAGTTTTTGTTTTGTTGTTGTTGCAGGGAGCCGGGCCTATGTCCTGCTGTCCCTGAGCCAGCAGGATGGCATTGAGCAGCAGGTGGACTTTGACAGTCGCTGCACCTTGCTGGAGCTGTTTGCTGAGATCACGTCCTCTGCAGAGCACTGCATGTCCTTCGAGGGGATTCACCTCCCGCAGGTAGGGACGGACCGGCCACCAGCCCCGGGCCTGTGGGGCATGAGGGGC